CTTGCATGAAAATCAGGTTTAAAAAAGAACGAGATCCCAGTAGGTACTCATCGAGTGGTCCCAACCCTAAATTCGTAACATTTGTCGAACCGCGCGAAACAGGACAAGCAATTTGGCTAACTAGAGACACTTTCGAACCGTCCAAATGTTAATTCACCTAAGTTAATAATATTCTAACGCTTCGATACGGAAATTCCCATCGAGTCCGCCATCGATCCTCGACATCAGAGCACCGGAGGTCCACTTTCGTCCTAGATTCCTCGTCGTTCCACTCTCAGTCTCTCCGCGAATACCTCAAGCTCACTTTTACTATGTCTCTCTCACTCTCTCCTCTCGCTCTCGTTTCCCTTTAAATCTATTTCTCCCTCTGCCCCCCTCGTTTCTTCACCCTGTAAATATACGCCTACGTGTGTACGTGTGTGTCCGTGTGTGACGCGCAGGCGCGCGAGTGTACGCATTCGCATCCGTTGAATTCGACTTGGCACAAACAACAGAGTCTTTGTAAAAAAGGCACTATTTTTGTAAAACGAAACAGTCACGTGTTATTACGTTTTGTCACCCAAATCCCCTCCCTCTCTCTTCGTCGTTTTCTTTCTCTTTCTTTCTCCGTTCCGAGACGCGAAACGAGAGAAATCGGTTCGTCGGACGAACCGAGACCGCCCCTTTCCGAACTTCCAGCGGCTGAGCTAATCGAGCACTTCGCGCCTGTCGTCGCTCGCCATTACGTCCCATCATCCAATTTCTGTTCCTCGGTTTCCTTCGCGAGACGCCAGTTCAGTGAACCCGAGGACCACTGACCTTTCAAACACGAAAGGCTCTACCTTTCGAATTCTCGAAGTCATCGATGGTTTCAAAAATTATCGCCCGATTCTTTCCCTATTCGATTTTACAGTATAATTCCGGTCGATAGATTTGCTTCCCGTACCTGAAATTTAGCGAAACAACATTTCTTTCCCTTCTTCCTCGAATTCACCGATCTTTCGCTGGTCAGAAATCACATTTTCCAATTTCAAACTCTCAAACACTCTTTGCATTTAAAATTTCCTCCAACAGTCACGTGACGCTAAATCATTAATTATTCCCTTGTCCCCTCCTCGAAAAACTAAGTTTCGCCCGCTCGAATTTCCAAAGCAGCATCAATTTATCTATCAAAGCTCGCGTTCCCGACCTCGTCTAGCAAAGAAGTCACGCGACGCTCCGCCGTATCACCCAATTTGTTCCTTTCCTCCGCGAAACCTAACAAAGAAGAAGCTAATTCAGCGAATCACGGATCCCTCAAACACCAGAGATCGCGTATCCCGTTCTAAATTTCCAATTTAACTAGTTTCCGAGTAACGTCGGCCGGTCGAGTCATTATACATACTCTTCTCACACATCATTTGCTCAAACAGTCACGTGACACAAGGTCCATTCGATTTGTTCTAATTTCCCCGAAATGCGTCGTAGAAAAAGCTAGTTCAGTGGGCCGACGGCTAACTTTCGGACTTTTAATTTCCAAAATGAAAGCAGTCGACCAGGTCGTGGACCACTGATCTGTCGAGGCCCAACGATCAACGTTTCCAGGATCAGAGATCCTTACGTCCCCTTTCGATTGCCCACAGCGAGACTGTTTGCCTCTCGTTAGTCGATCGACTCGCGCTCGCGAAGAAGAAGCCAGAGCTAGAAAAACGTGAAAAATATCGTCAGGAGAGAGTTTGGCTGTGTTAATTCCACCTCAAGCCCTGTCGACGACGAGTTCGCGTCCGCGGACGTCGGTTATTCGTCGTCGTCGAAACGCCAACGACGCTGCTCGCGGAGACCGCGATCCCGACGTCGTTCGATCACATCAACATGTATAAAAAACGTCAGTCTTATTGTATTTTAGTGCAAAAAGCGTGTGTAGACATCCAAGTGGTCTCGAGTGCTGGTTCGCGACCAACGATTAGCGACTTCTCGTCGTGAGACGTGGTGCGATCGCTGTCTGCCAACCGATGTATCGACGAGAGTCGTTCATGTTTTATTTTTTATTTATCGATCACGCGAACTCGATGCGTCGAGAAGCGATCGCGTTGTATCTGTGTGTATGCAAATGCTGGTCGTCCATCGAGAATCCGTCAACTGCGTCGTCTCGTGGATTGTTTTTTAAGCGGACAAGTATCGTCAGGAATGTGATTGTGCACAAGTTCTTTCAAATTCTGAGACACTTTTCTACGTTCGATTTCAGCTATTTTATTATGTACAATCTAATTGTTCGAGAAAATCTCGTGCCCTGTTGTTGCGACTCGACCCGTTTTCATTTCTTTTCTTTTGTTTGCCCTTTGTGAAACCATTCCCTATCGAGAGATTTTCCAGCTTGCGATCATACGAGAAACGCAAGTTCGTCGATATCGGCGCTCGATTCTAATCGAGTTACGGGGGTTCTCCCTCTCGGTCGAACCGATGGATTTGTAAACGGTATACAAATGTCGGAACGCTGTGTACAGTGTATACAATATCAATACGAGTATCAAAATTTTGAAAAGACATCTAACGCGACTCGAAATCGTCGTTTCTCGTCCCCCTTCGCGGGGGGAAGGTGCATCGAAGGCGAAAGGAAAACAGAAGCGGATAGAGTCTCTCGATCGGCCACCTTCGACGCCAAGGATCGATGGAGTTTACGAAAGATTGCGGGTCCATCGATCGAAGGGCAGGGATGAGAGGAAAAACGTTCGTTGAGGTAGAGATCCTCCGCGGAGGAAATCTCTGCTCCGTTTCGGAGTGTACAAATGGTAGAAAAAGCGAGGAAAAACGTCGTGACGCTGGGAAAACTGTTTCTCAACGCCACGGTTCCGTTTTCTTCTCGCGGTACAATTGGGGACGAGTTTCCTTCTTTCCTGCGTTTGCAATCGGATCGATCCGAGTAATACGTTCGTTTCTGTTTACAAACCAAATTAATATCTAACGAGAAAGCTTCGAAATATCAGTGTCCCGTTTCTAAAAAAAAATGAAGCGAAGTCGTTATAAAGTTTATAGGGTGAGAAACAGGATAGAAGGAAACTCGCGACAATGGGGAAAAATGGGACGCTCGGTCGTTCAGTGAACGGCGACGGTGAACGACTTTCAAACGCGGAATCCTCTCGTATTCTTTTCCCTAATTGGTGTGCGCTGCTCCTTTCGCGCACTCACGCGATGAACCCCGTTCTCCATCGACATCTTTCCTGCATTCTCTCACTCTCGCATACAGTCTAAACGTTTAAGTAGAAAAAAGAAAGCGATACAAACGAATTAGTTACAGACGTTGACACAGCCAAATCTTTGTTTAAACATCTTTTCCCCCGTGTTGTTTGTCCCGATACGAGCAAGCGTGTGCACTCGTCCTATCCCCCCTCGCAAATTCATCCCCCTCCCCTTTATTAAATCCTACTATTGGGAAGCAACTCGTTCGCCGGTAGAGAAAGGACGATCACCGACGTTTACTCTACTCCTCTCGTATTTAATTTCATGACGGTATTAAATAAAAAATTTTTATTCTTCCATGATGGAAACATTTGCGGGGACGAAATTTTGGTAAAATCACTCGAGTATTTTTCACGAAACGCTTGTTGCTCGTCCTGTCCCTACCGTTTATCACTTACGCTAGCCTGTACCATAATTCAACTCCATCTCTGAACACCCCCGTTCCCCCCTCTTTCACCTACGTTCTCCTCACCGAACTCGGTTGAACACTTGGTGGATATAGCGTTGTACGGTGCACCGGACGAATCCCATCGCGCGTCCGTCGCAGAGCCAAAAAGGGTCGTTCGATCAGCGCCAGCGTATACTGATCCCGACGTCCTCGCTCCGAGACCGGAAACGGAGCCGTGGATCCGTGATTTCGCGCGAGGATCGCACGAAACGAGACTGTCGTTCGACCCAACGAGGATATGCAAGGCTCCCCGACGCGCGACGGTTTCCCGAATTTTTCCTAGCATCGCGAAGGAAAGCTGCGGATCCTGTCCGCGGACCGGTCCACGCGGATCCTCTGCGAGTCATCCGGTTTCTCGCACAATGTATCGTAACGTTGCCCGTCGGCCGACTAAAAACACACAGCGTTCCACTCGCGACCGATCTAACTATTTACTTCCTACTATAACGAACACTGGCTTTCCCGGTATGAATTCAGCGTGTTTGTGTGCGTCTGTACACTGTAGCTTGCAAGTAACAGGCCAGCGGTCGACTTCTTATAACGTAAACACGGCAGATTTATTTAACCTACCACGTCTTTATTAGTACTGTTTTACTGTTGGTCGGAACTATTGTAAATTCAAAACTTTTTCGTCTTATTCTGCAGTGATTACGTCGAGGTGTTCTAGAAAATGTTTTATGCCTTTGTGTTTCGTTTATTTTGAGATGACGAAGAAATTGAAGTTTCCTTGCGACATTATTGCTAATATTATACGTAATATTTCGTGGTATTATAATTGCTACTATACCTTTTAGATTTTCGAATTTTTTAAACTTTGCACCTCGTATAATACTAGATATAATTTGGAATTTAGTGTAGAATTAGTCGAAACACGAATAAAATTTTCCAAATATGAAAAAACACTTATCAGCAACAGTGTACACATATGTGCGTGTGTATGTGTGTGATTAAGGAGAGGAAAGGATATTAATTAACCCGTCGTAACGGGGTTTTGGATGAGTCGTTTGGTAATGTCGATCGCACGGATCGGCGTGTGTGTACGTGTGTTGATCGTTTCCGTGTCGGTGAACAAGAATGAAAAAGAGAAAAGAAAAACGTCGCGTGCCTTCTCGTTCAGTTCGTAGATTCACATGTACATGCGATAGTGATAATAAAAATAATAATAATAATTAATAATAATAATATTAATAATATTAATAATAATAATAATAAAAATAATGATAATAATTATTATAGTTATATATAATATTTGTATGTATATATATATACTTGTTAATATATATATATAATTTTCTATGTACACAAGGTAGCCAACGAATTATTACACCGCTCGTTAAAGGTTCGTCTGGATCCCCGTTCGTAACGTATCGAGCTTCTAGAAAACATCACATAGATACGTCACAGACCAACAAGTTCTAAAATCGCAAATCGCGTTTCTCGAGCCCTTAAATTGCGCGTATCCGCTCAGCGCATGCGACGCGTAAAAAACGATTTAACTATAAACTTTCCCCTCCGTAATCGCACATTTCCACCACTCCGTTCGACTCTCTCGAATTCGCATCGTACACGGTTCCCTTTCGCTTGCTCCCGAATTCCCTACGGTCGATCGATCACCGTGTCCTCTTCTCGCGTTCGAAAAGAATTGGTAGCCTATTCGGAACCAGAAAAAAAAAAACGAAAAAAGAAAAATGTAATGAAACGTTCGTCTCGCCACGTCCCTTAGTTTACAGCGTCGCTAATAAAAAGTACTAAGTGTAACGGTAGTAATGAATAGTAGCAGTTCACCTTACCAGCTAGGGCGAATATTTTGTAAAATCGTAGCAATTGCTCTTTGCGGTAATAAAAAGTAAAAAGAAACGCGTGGATAGTCGCTAAAACGTTAAGGGCTCTTTTCAACCCCTAACGTGTCCTCTAAGTCTAGTTGATTCCGTCAATGTGTGTGTCTGTGTGTGTGTGTGTATGTTTGTATGTACCGTGTTTCTTTCATTTCTATTTCAACCATTCAATTCGTCGTCCCTGCATCTCTCTATATATGTGTTTGTTTTTATATGAGTATGTACGTGTTCGAAGGTGTTTGTATTTCTTCTTCTTCTTTTTTTTATGTTTTCAGTCGGTTTCGCGGCGCCCCGACGCCGCACATTGATTTTCCCAAAAAGCTCTCGCGCGCGCTACTCACCCTCTACGGTGCATTTTCTTCCATTCATCCTGGCTCGCTCTCTCTCTCTCTCTCCCACGCAGTCTCTCCTCCCTTTCTTCGTGTTTTCGTTTCTACTATTTATACCCTTCTTGCCGCAAGAAATTTAAACAAAGGAGTGTTCACCAGTCGCGCGTTGCTTTCTCGTTTCCTCGCACTCTCTCTCTCTTTTTCTCTGTCTTTCTCCCTCGTTTGCTCGTTCCATTTGCTTCTATCCACGTACCCCGTCAGCATGATATAAAGTCGCTACGTGTACGATCCTACGCATAGTAATCGCCAAAGTCTCGCAGCGGCGCGTTCGCGCGCGTATTTTCGGTCGTCGTGCCGGTTAAGGGTAATTGTCGATCAACCCCCTCCTCGCGGCTCTTAACCCTTCGTTTCGTGAGATTACTGGTTCCCTGTTCTAGTTGAGGTATACTATTCTGCGAGATGCATGTACAATTAATAAAAATATTCGCTAATCGTTCGGTAATTAAAATAGTGCTGCCAGCGGTTGAACGGATGGCTCTGAAAAGCGAGGAGAATCGCCCTCGACTGATCTTCGATCGGAGATCCACTCGACGGATCCCTACGCAAATATCGATAGACTCCGATCGCGACGCGCGTTCTCTGTTATCGCAAGAGGATCCACAAATTCTTTAGCCCGCCCGTCTTTCCAGCGCCATCGTCAACCCTCTGGGTAGTCCCAAGCTGAACCCTATTCTCCTGGAAAAATAAACTTTCGCGCTCAGTTTCGTTCTCAGTTCTGCGAGCTACGTTCCGTTTCGCGGGCCACGAAACGAAGGGTCAATGCTCGACGGCGTTCCCCGTCAGCGCGGCGGCGGGCGGGGCCCGCCCGACGTCCGTCGATCCGTCGATCAGCGTCCGATCGCAGATGATGTGGCAACAGGTCCTGGTTCCCGGCACCGGCTCACTTCGGCACGCGGTAGTACCGCAGCACCAGGTAGCCAAGAGTGCGGAACACCACCAGGAACGCCAACAGAACGGCCGTGTTCGCCCAGAGTGGAAGACCGGAACCCCTGGCGCCACCCTGGCTCTCCAGGATCGCGGTCACGGGTATCGTCGTGGCATTCCTACACTCCTGGAACTTGCTAGGCTGCGAGCATCTGTCGTTAAAAACAAGATCAAATTAATACCAGACGAAACAATGGACTACTAAACAACTTTCAACATTTGATAGGGTTGCATCTAGATCTGGTCTCCTAAATCTCAAGTCAGATCTGGGCTATCTACGTTCTGCATCATAGGGGGCAATAATTTCTATATGTTTGAGCTTTGATTAGGATCTGTCAAAAGTTTAATTTCCTGTTAGTAATGTAATACTGTATAAACATCGTAGAAACAGTAAAGAACAATGGTCTGAAATTTGTTACCTAGTAGTACAAAATAAATAACATCGTCAGTTTTTTCCACTTAAAAATTGTTGCATAAAAGTGATATGAACGAAGATATGAAGTGTTTTGATCGCGTCACGTGCTGGTTAATATCGATCCGAGATATGCGTTATCCCCCATTGTCGAGGGTCCCGTTTATAACCCTGATCGCGTAATCGAGGTATTCAGTTTTTTACGCTCCTGGCTCCGACTCCCCCGCCCGAACCGTCTCGTTCGTTTTCGCCTCTGGATTCGAGCAGTTAAACGGATCAGCCGTGGCTAACCCGATTAACGCGTCGTCGCGGATCATTGGTCGGGATCTCGCGCGAGACTCGGGAATTTCACGATCTCGAGTCGGACGGGTTGAAGCGGCTAGGAGGACCGAGGGGAGGGAATTGAATAATGCACAAGGGTTGTCCCGGTTGAAGTTCATCTACTATTTAAACGCGACGTTCCTCCGTTGCAATTAGCGGCTCTTCGAGGGTGTTCGCCAACTTCCGTCACGGTTTTTATTTAATAAGCCCCCCTCCCAACCCCAGATCGATCCGAAGAATCGGCGTCAACGAAACGCGCTCCACCAATTACACTCTACTAATTGGGGGATCTCGGAACTGCAAAATCAGTGCAAACTGTTCGAATGTTACAGCTGGGTACGAACATATGCTTTACGACAATTCGTAGCTACGTATAGAATAACAAATGGTGTAAATTCTCAAGTACAAAACTACGGTCGAGGGTTACTGATGGAAGATATATTCAGCTATCATTAAGTAAATTATAATGTTTACTCTGGAATAACCAAATGGAGGGAGTTTCAACTGCAAAGTACACTCGGGGAGCCTTGCAACCATTAAAAAGTTGTCGAGGAAGGATAAATCCAAGTACCACGATGGAACATGGTTAGACGCAATAAAGAATCTCAGATGCCAAGGAGAGATTCTTGGGACACGTTTGGTTCCAGGTGGAATTGTCGAAGAAGTAGCAAGGACGCACGCGATGAGATAGATATCTGGAGTTTATCAACTTACGTGATCGGCTCGCCGACGCCGAATTCCAGGATTTGCATGTTCTGATAGGCGTAGTGCACCATGCTCGCGTATCTGGCCCACGCGAGCCACGGTGGAACCGCCGTCGCCAAATAGCCACCCAACAGCTGCGTCGCGAGCGTGTAAAGCGCGGACGCGGTTATGCTAACCTGGAAGTCCAAACAGCAGGCGCCAACGAAGAATCCCACGCTCTGAAATCAGACGGGTGCAAGATCCTTTAGAGTTTGTTATATTCCTGCGTTTCAAACGTTTCTGTACAGCTTCGTTCAACATTCGACTGGGACTAGTCAATTCGACGACTATTATAATTCGAACACTCGAGTACTGGAAGTTCTAGTTTTTCTACTGAAAAGGAATTTTTATTTGCTCTTCGATTGCTAGACAGTATTCTCATTGTTGTTCATCCACCGTATTGAAACAAAAATACTGTAAAATAACTTTCGACTATCAGACGTAAGAATAATTCTCAATAAACGCAGGGTGCTTCTGTTCGAAGTAGGTGCTTTGGAAATTTTAGTCGAATTTGTAGACGGACTCGAATTTCTAAGCCCGACTGTACACGTCGGTGCGCATTGTGAAACACGAGAGTTACTCATTTCCGTCAATAGGTAGGTGGTTTTGAAAGTAAATCGCGACCGCCTTTCATGCTACAATGACTTAGTATTGACCGTAGGTGGACAGTGTCGAGGGCTGACAGGAGGGAGGAGGGGAAGAACGAAAAAAAAATGAAACCGCGAAATTCTTGCTGTTTATGTTTCGCGTCGAGGAAAAAGTTCGATTGCGTTGGAGCAGCGCGACAAGCTTCTGCCACTTTTTCCTAGACTCGTTCCACTAACTCCAAACGCCTCTTTCGATTTAAAATCGCTTCGAAAAATGTTAAAAAATGTCTGTAATTTATCGTTTAACGCCATGTCGTTTCAATACCGAAGACAGCTTATGTCGCGATAAATCAGTGTTCTATCTAAACGTTTAATAGTTAAGTTCTCATTAAAACGGCTTATGCTAATACCGCGTAGGCAGACCTTTCCTTTCTGCGGGTGACAATATTCGTAACACATCAGGAATTTGTTAACGTCTTCGACGGCCTTTGGAAGTCTACTATCGCAGAAGGAAATCATTTTTTTTTTTAAGTTTCTAGAATAATTTTAGTAAAGTCCATTTAAAAAAATTCGCGAGCGAAGTTTAGAAACGAATGTAAAATTTCGTAAATGGAGTTCGTCGAACTCGTTTCGACAGATAGCGTACGAGCGACCACGGTTGCTACCAGTCGAGCGTTCACCCCGCACGCTATACTCACCCCGTCGTGGTTTTTATTTTTCGCGAGGAAGGTGAATGAAACGTACCTGCGCTACAACGGTGTTGAGTAACAGGAACGCCAGCAGAGTGACGAAAACTGCCGGACTGTGGAAGCCCAACATCGGGTAACTAATGATATGGTAGACCGCGGGCAGTGTAATCGTAAGCGGCAGCTCGCCGACCATTTTCGCCAGGTAATAGGCCGAGAGCCGATACGATCCTGACAACCGCTCCTTGTTGATAACCTCGCGTTCCGGAGGAACTGAAAGAAACATTTTGTATTCACGTTATTTCAAACAAACACCCTCGTTTCCTCTCGCTGAAAAGAAAACTCCAATTCAAATACATCGACGATCCACAAAAAAATTCAAGGTTGTCGAGATGGGGTGGTTTTCGAAAATGTATTGCAATTTCTTCCTTTCGAGGCCCCAAGTCAGTAATTTGAGTTTGGCCGTTCGACGATTAGTCTGTACGATCAATTTAATATTTCGATGCGGAGTGGAGCAGTGTGAACGACGAGAAAGGGGTTGAAGAAGAAAGGGAGGACAGAGAAGAATCAAAGACGATGCTAAAATCGGTTTTACAGCTGGACGGGAACTGGCGTCCTTTTCGAGCTCGCTTTTAGCGTCTGGCCGGGCCGTTTCGCTTTCTACGGGGGGGATAAGTGACGACGATTGTAAAACGCCACACGGATGTCGAGGGAGCCGCGGCTAGAACCGTGGCGGACTCTATGCCTAAGTTATGCGGCTCCTAAAATAGTCGGGGAATAGCCGAGCGTCTATTAACTTTTCCGTTTTATCGTTTACTGCCCTTTGTTCCCGACGATTTGTCACCTTTATCCGGCCGGGTCTCGGTTATCTGTCGACGCTGTCCGCTCGCTCGCCGAGCGTGAATCTTTATTGCACTTTCTTCTCGGAGGACGCGTCAGTGAAATCGCCCGGAGATGGATTCAGCTAATTTTCATCTCCGATGAATTTAAAAGTAGCTCTTCGCTATTTTCATCCGCGCCTCGCCCCGACGCGTCTGCCTCTTCTAACAAACATTCGCTATAGATACTCGATACATCATTCTATTGCAATCGATACATTCTTAACCCTTAACCTTTGCACTCGGACACTTTTCTTCGATCACCTACTACTAACACTTTCTTACGAAATAGATAATAAATTTTTTTATGTTGTATTATCGTTGTGTTTCCTTAGAGGGTGCATGCAAATTGTTTGATGATCTCGTGAAATTTATGTCACAGGTTGTTATTTGCTTCGAGTTCCATTTATTTCAAATAAAATTAGTCAGCATAGTATTTCTACGATTAAGTAGTCTTCGACGTTCCACCCTACTGCTATTCGACTGTAAATATTGTTGACTAACTGCTCCCTCCACTATCGAAATAAACGTAGACGTAAAGTAATTGGAACCAAGAGGAAATAATTGAGATCGAAGTCCTTGAAAAATCTCGTCGACGACCAATTAAAAATTTCTTCCGAGTATCCGTTTCCGCGTAATCGAGCTCCCTCCCCCTTTGGAACGATGACCCGTCCGTGGAAGTCGTTCGACTCGATTTGGTACGAAGAAAGGAAAAAAAAGCGGCAGCGGGAGAGTTCCTTCGCGAACGAATCTCTAATTTGTCACCGAGTCGAGCGTCATTTTACAGTCTGATTCCCCGTCTGAAATTCGTCACGCTCGTTTTGCACGGCATCGTCGACAAAAGGGCCTCAATTACCAGGCGCGCGCTCAGTGGGTCACGGCGCCCTACATGACTAACATTCTTGATTGACCCGTTCTCTGGTCCTTTGCAAATCTTTGCTATAAAAAAAAACGGGCATCGCTGAATGGCTGATTGAGCACGTTGCATCGTCGTGGCTCAATTAACCAATCTGCTCCATCTGCTTCTGCGCGTTGCGCAATGGCTACCTGAAAACTTTCCGTTCCGCGAGCTTTTATCTCCCGCGTTCGTTACGACGAATAAAAGAACTCCTTTTACGAAGCAAAGAAGCTTCTGGCAAAAACTCGATTTTTAATTACGCAACGAGACGTTTCGAGATATAATTTCCTGTCGTCTGTCATGAATTGTAACGACGAAAGGATTGGACGAAAAAAAATACGTGTAAACTTACAACTGGAGAGTGCACCGAAGTGCGCAAAGAGCATCCAATACGTGGTGCTGAAGAACATCCAGCCCTGGATGTCGTGCAGAGCTGCTTCGGTTCTGGGAAGCCTCAGCCACAGCAGCCCGGCGAGCAAACCGAGGGCTATCGTTTGCAGCCAATTCAAACGAGACAGCATCCGTGGCCGTGCCTCTTGAAAGTTTCTTTCTGATAATACCTGCAATCACCAAACAACGCAATTTCGCGTGTAAACTTGACGTACGATCATTATTACACCCGTCGGCGGGCGTACAAATTTAATTTCACCGCGACGTCGGGAACGTAATTACGATGATTATACTCTAGCATTGAAATCACCAGGCAAACACGTCGAATCGGACAAAATTTCTTTCGGTGCCCGTCGAACTGGCGGACTTTCACGTTTGTGAATAATATAGCTTCATTATTTTGATGGATTTTCATTTGAAATGTCCACTTTAAAAGGACAAATTTGTATAATTGAAGATTTTAACGATACAGAATTCCTTCAACATGTGTACATTAAAAATGTAATATAAGTATTTTTGCGATTGATAGATTTTATTGAAATTTTCAGGAGTTATACGTGGATGTTAGAATGTGTTAATATATATTTAGTTTTGTTGACGGAATTGAGTATCGAAAGGGTTGAGGAGAATGGTTGGTAATTCGTTATCGAATCGCGAATCGAGCTGGTAGCTAGAGGCGCGTTCTGCTAATTGCGTGTTTATAATGATAGAAATGTTGCCCCCGTGCGCGCGACAATGTCACGATTGCAAGGTTGCTCCGCTACACCTCTTTGGTGGAGTTCAATTATATCGACGGCCGTGAGGAAATAGAACGCAAAGTTGCACAATGCTGGTTCCGAAGGCCTCTTTAAATTACAACTATATACGCACGCCATTTAACCGTGAAAGAACGGAGAGGAACTTGACATCGTTAATTACTCAATTACCCGACGACGATCGGGGGTGGGGCAGGGGGTGTCCAACGATTCGTAATGCGTAGTCACGACCTTTTAATCCCGCTATACCACACCTATGCATAATCCAAAATTATACTCGAAACCAAAAACCATTAATAAAATCATTTTTCTAGATTGCATAAAATTCTCAGTAGCCAAGCACCGAGCACAGTTTTCTATTTTACAAAATCGTATTTTCAATATTTGCTTGAAAATGGTAAGGATTTATGGTATTATCGTTTCGAAACAGTTATTGAGAGAAGCTTTATATTTGTTTGGTATTATTTGCGAGCGATTGTAATCGTTTGAAGACGTTGAGGATTCTGCCCGGTGGGAGTGCAGAAAGGGTGAAACACTCTCGGCGTTTGTCGAGCTGAAACGCAACTAGAAGAATGGTTCCGCCGGGTAAAAGTGATGCAAGTGGCGAGGTGCGTTCGTACAAAGAGCGGCGTCATCAGGAACGGGCATACCGGTCCGGGTAATTATCCGGATATGGCGAACCGTGTAAACGCGACCTAGTTCCCCTTTCTGCGCGGTCGGTCCTCTTTTGCGACGCGTCGCGCGAGCACTTTTCATTCTTCGATTCGGGGACCACTCTGCGCCTCGAATGTCTACCATTTAAATCGACACGAGTCCCCAAATGCTGCAAAACGAGCGACAAACAGCGATACGAATCCCATACGATACCTACGATGGTCCCAAGTTTTTCAATCGTGCTGATAATTTGGAATCGATAGCGAGTTTGAAATCTGATGCTTCTTAGGTCTGTGTAATTTATCAACCCTTGCAACTACATCTTTCAGTAACAGATTCGTGTCACGGATTCTGCTTAACGCGTCGAAAAGCTGTGCTCGAAACCGGCTATAGGAAATCAATGCCATCGCTGGACAGCTTCGACGCACGATAAAATTTTACTGTCACGCGCGTCAAATTTTATAGCGGATTTTTATTACGTCTATTCTTATACCAATTTTCACGAATTTAAAGATCGCGAGACACAGCTCGCCATATTTATATTTCCAAACCGTTCGATAAAAAAAATACGTGAAATAAAAGTGTACCCATAAAATGTTCGAGTATCGTAAATCTCGGTTCTAATGCATACTTAATTCGTCCATTGGCTATATAACGATCCGTTTCAATTCAAAAGCGAGATTAAATATTTCTTAGGCGTCTACCGCGTCTAGGTGCACCCAGCAGAATGTAAATTACGCGACCAATATTAGAGGACCTGACGTTACAAGCAGCTTCCCGCGGTTTAATTCATCGCACCATGGTTTTTAATTCGATCCAGTTAATTTCTAACGCGACGGGATTACTCGGTTTCACTCTCGCGCGCTGGAAAATTGCCCGATCAAATTTTCAACAAGGGAAAATTGCTCCAGCCGATTCCGCGAGCCGTGAAAATTCCATTTTTGCTGTGAAAATAACGCCTACGAAACGTCTTGAAAAAATTAGTTTGAATATTTCCATTATTTTCAGTAATAAAATATTCTGAATTTATTAACCGAAAGAGATCCAGCTAGAAATATTTTCCTTCGTCGTAAATTGCTGTGCGTTTGTTGTTCGAGTAGAATTTTTGCCGATTTCTGCTGGAAAGTTACCTGGAATGCGTCAGCCGTCTCTGGCAAAATAGCCAAAGATTAATATGAATTTAATGCGAGCATTACACTTGAATTCTGATGTCATTTCCATTTCCCGCGGTATTATCTGTCGCATACCAGGTCACTCATCTAAATTTTCACATTACCGTTCCATGCTCTATTAATTTCTTGCGTGCAATCGAACTTTTCGATCTCGCCTTCGGCCAGCTTCCAATACTGCTCTCCTCGTGTTTCGCTCGCGCGCGCAGAAACACGAAACGTCGATGAAACTGCGCCGTTGCCCTACATAATTGTCTCGCTATTCGTTTATATTCGGTTGCACACCGATTATTTGCAATTTTTTCAAATCGAACAACTCTCAACCTATACTACGTACACTATAAGACCATTTCAAAACAGAAGTTACGAACTAAAACAATACTGCAATTCCTTGATCGTTACTTTCCCATGCATTCGAACGCATGTTCTTTTAATCGAATCCCTGTTTTGAGAGTAGACAAACGCGAAAAGAAACCTCAACATCTTACGATACTGAACAAACACGGTCTACGTGTTTATCAGAATAATATTTTCAGAGCATTCATCATCCTAGAGCCGTAAATCAGCCTAGAGTCAACATTTTAAGCAGGGAGATTATTCTGCTTAAAGTCTTCGCTGTTACTACATGTTTCTATCCGGGGATATCCACCTGTTACATCCTTCGTTTTGTTTAGCAAATATGGTAGAATTTTTTAAGAAACCATTTTGTGACGTTCGTACAATTACTTGAAAATACTCTACGGTATTAAACATCTAATAATTTTTAAGTGTACGTCGGGGTAAAGATTCTTTAAAATATTATATAACCCCTAAATTTTACGAAGGTGAAATCAGATTTTGAAAAAATAGGTTTATGGCGTTATGGAGGGTTGTTTCGTCGAGGAATCGATGGAACGCGCGCCAAAAACGTTCTTCCGCGTCCCCGTTTCGCCGAAAAGCTTCGTTCTGCCCTCTTATTCGGTTTTATGTGGAATAATAAAGCCCCGGTGCGCGGCAGTTTCGACTCCTATTACGGAAAACATTCGCAGAAACGGTACTCACTTTGAATTGCGACCAGAAACTGGTGGGCCACTGCCAGGAATAGTCATCGTCCGCGGAACTGGCGCTGCTGCTGGCGTGGCTTTGTGTGTCCAACCACAGCGTACGACCTTCGTCTTCCTTCACTGTAAATCATCCGCACAATGAAGGGTTGAAGGTTGCCTCGAAGATCGTCTCTCGACGTTCGCGCGGGAAATTATTGCACGGGAAAATTTTAAAGAGCACTCGATAATCCATCGAGCACCACCAGGCTACCATTTTGGTACCAAAACCGGGGGAACTTTATTTAAAATAATGTTAAATCACGAGCATTTAGTTTTCGCGATAAACTTTTGGGTCGAACAGTTATTTTAGAGGGTCGACGTTAGAAAACGAGAGTGTATGCAAATTCTGTTTTTAATCCCCGATCGATGGAACGATAGCAATCTTCGAAGCCTTACGTAACCCGTTATAGGAATAATCTATCCGAAACTGTGGTTTCCTGTGTCGAATTTATCGACATATTATATCATATAAATTTATACGTCGGCTCTAATATTAATTTCAGCTTTAACAGAAAGTGTAGAAATCTTGTAACGTGCAATTTCATAACAGGTTAATCTAAGCATCGCGGTAATTACAGACATTCGGGCGAGTAAAGTGTATATTCCAAACTAATCCCAACCTATCTCAATTACGTAACAAGAATTCCACTCCGTCGGTCAAGATTCTATGCTTTGACGATTAAATTAATGCTCACGCTACTTTGTTAACGTCCTGCTTAACCGAACCCAGCATGATCAAATTAACTACGATATACCAGCTAATGTTCGCTGGCTTATACCGATTCATTTAAATCGAAAGTAATAGACGCAATAAGAAATTTATGTTGCGTGAATCTGATACAATTGCAATTGTGTTTTTTATTCCACGACTTTGGTTCATTTACTTTTTCAAAATCGAGTCTAAAGAGTCTACATCCTATCCAGCTCCTACAATCGTCGAGCTATACTCCAGCGTACCGGTCGAGGATTAAAACCACCTTTCTTTCACCGAACTATTCGCTTCGAAATGTCATCGAGCCACCATCGTCGATAATCCGGCTCGATTCGATATCCCAAAAATCGTCGCGTGTAAACAGATACGTCGACCTAGAAAGACCGACACGGTTCGTGTCGACACTCGATCTTCGAGATTTAAGCTGACGAACCCGAACCGCAACGATTCCAAACGCGGTCTGAGTGGCTCCAGTGCGTACACTGCCCGATAAATAACCAGTCTAAACTACTGGCGGTACAAGCACCGTCCGTCACACATTTTGCAAACAATTTTATCTTTGATACGCTTGGCAAGAGAAAATTCAAGTTAAACTCTTTTAAATTTCTCCATTGCAGCTGAAAACATTTTATTCTCCTCGTACACATCGATACTAAATCAACGATCCATTTTTTAAATTCAGAAGCACGAGCCACTTTCGTAGTGGTTGCACGAGAAATCCTCGTTAACGACGCGCGGCTGACAATACTACGTCATTTTGTTTCGCGTTTTACAGCCCGGGTGCACGGTTATTTATCGGGCAGAGTGTGCGAACGCCAGGGCTAACGAACACCGCGGGTTGCACGCTATGTTATACCGTTGTGGCTGATGTGGTGCTCGTGGTAATGGATGAGATGGTCGCAGAGCGGATGTTGGCTGGGATTATATTCCGGACGAAGTTCCGGTGGGCAGTCGGGTCCCTGTCTTGCGTTCCTCGCAGCGGCCACGATGCGCTCCCGAACCTCTTCTGGCCCCTTTATTTGTTCCACTGAAACAATTCACGGTCTACCCGTTACATTCGGGAATTGTAGAACGCGACGAGGCCTTTTTAATTATCCGACTGGGCCCGCTCGTTAACCATTATTGCACTTTGCGGCTTTCTAATTGCTATTTTTTATTATTTAAAAACCGAGAGGTGGACGTATTCCGGGCGTTTAATTTCGTTTTTAATTCTACGCCGCAGAAATATAAAGGAGGCTTCATTCGTACGGATTAACGCGTTCGTTCCTCGAGTTATTAAAACGCCAGAGGGAAAATATCTTGCGAATGGTAAATTAAATTGTTAAAATTCAGTTTAATTCCCGAATTCCCGACTAAGAATGCATAAATCATTTTTCCAAACTACGCGTTTCTAATTGTTTGTTCGCGTCGACCGCGTGTCAAATAACCAGATAAATGCTTTCTGGTTCGTCGTTTGTACGATCGTGGAGTACTCACGTATGAAGTCAGCGGGGTTATAGTGCGGAAGCAACGTCAGTCCTATCGTGGAGAAAAACCTGCCAATATTCGACGTCGAGCCGTAGTACGCCACCTGGCCCCGGCTCAACAGAAGAAGTTTGCTGAAGCTGTGGAACATCCTGGAACTGGGTTGATGCACTGTCACCACAATGCTCTTGCCCTCCTGCTCCGCGTATTTCTTCAGTCGTGAAATAAGCGCCTGTGCTGAATGCGAGTCCAGCCCGCTGGTTGGTTCCTGGGAGGAACGACAGCGGAAAAATTAATCTCACTTTGTCTCGTCTTCTTAGCGCCACTTTGTTACTAAAAACTATCCCACGGAGTGGAATTTTTCCCTATACTCGTATAAACTCTAAATTTGTAAAACAAAGCACGAACTATTTTTTTATGAAATAAAATATTGCAAAGTGACGTGAATCATCGCTTAACGAATTTAGAGTAAAAGCATTATGTTTGGTGATTTCGAAATTTGTGACTCGAAGTGTTTCCAAGTTGAAATATCGCGGGGAAACGGTAATCCGAAAAGCTGTCGGTGCAATTAAGTAGCTTACATCGAGCAACATTAGCGACGGATTGGTGAGCAGCTCGCAAGCTATGCTCGTCCTTTTCTTCTCGCCTCCAGAGAGTCCTCTTTTCGTGTAATCCCCGATAACTGTAAACAAAACGCGATTGCAGCACAAGTAGCATCGGGGAGACGAGCAAACGTTCTCGTTATACCGTATTCCCGATTAATTAAAACTAACTGCCTGAGCGGGTCTTATTAGTCTCGCCGTTTCCTCGCGGAGAGATGTTTTCGATGTCAGAAGGAATTGCTAACTGTCGGATAAAATTAATCAACGGGAAAGTGGGACGACAGTTTCATAAAAATTGCTTGGAAAAGCGTCGCTTATTTTTGTTCGTGTTTCCAACAATTCGGAATACGAGGATGCTACCTCGATGATTGCATGAGTTTCGATACTTACAAGAACTTTCGACCCAATTTGAACATTTATGCAGAGCGTTTAAGAGTTTCGCGCCTTTGAAAGTTGGAATTCCAGTCGCAGGATCTGTTTCTCGGGAAAGGACGTCGCTGGGTGGAAGTCTGAAGGACGCGTCAGGAGCGTTTTTATTTAAATGGAAATAAGCACCAGCGACCAGTATCGTCTGGGACCGGGTTTACGGGCGAAAGGTGGATGAGTTACGATCGCGGAAATCGTCAATCAAAATCGCGGGAACAGCGACGCTCCGTCCACTGAAAGCCAGGATCGTTTCTTACCGGTGGAAGTCGTAAATTGTTACGGGGTTCTCGGTTCGCGTACATAAACAAATTACGGCGGATTTACGCGCGGGCGTCCCGCGGACGAAGAAAGTGGGACAATTTTGTGTATTGGTCCCGATCTACAGGGAGACTTTGATCTCCCGGATCACGAGAACAGAAAATCGATCACGAATCCGACGTCCTTGATCGTTTATACGACTATTGACGCGATGTGCAATTTGCTTTTCTTCGATCGAGAAAAAAACTAAAAATAAATTGACTTACGGATCATCTTCGAGAGAAATATACATTGTACGGTTTATTACAGTGTATATTATTTTGAAACAATTTTGTACGTGCAATATCGTAGATTATTTTGTGTTCGAGGATGACCTACATGGGGTCGGATAAGGTCTTGCAAGATCTATATTTAGTAAAAGGAAAAAATCGAGCAATTATTCTTAGAATTGGAGAGTTCTTTTTAAAAAACGTGCAATGGCGTCTACTTTCTTAACGCTTTCACCGAGCGTCTACCACAGAAACAAGAAGTGTCAACTGCTGTCGCTTTCGTTCTTTTTAACGCGTCTACCGCGGAAACAGTCTTCAGATTTACGAAAAAAGTAGATATTTCTTTGTCCTATTTCTGTATGGTGTAAGGACTTGAGACAAAAATCTCACGGGAGACAGAGACAAATCTAATAGTTTCTCAAGGTGGTATTATTGAAAAATAATGAAATTCGTGACTAACATCCCGAGAAAGTTGCAACTCAGAAGCAAGTGTTTTCGATCCTTTCATTTCCTGTAGTGATTCAAAGAACTACGGTCACGAAGCAGATAGGGAAAAAGTGGGCTTGGTGGGATCGATGGATCGGTTGGATCTATACTCACTGGTGTCTTGGCAGGCGGCGAGGTCGAGGACCTCAATGATATGATCCACGCACTGCATCTTCTGGGAGTGCGAGAACGTGTCCGGAAGCCTCAGCCTGGCCTGGTACTGAAACCCACGAAAAAGATCGCGTGATTATGCCGGCGGAGAGGAGACCAGGATAGATCGGTATCGTTCGGCGCCGTCCGCCTTCGACCTGGCCGGCCCCGTTTACGCATTAAACAGTAATGTAAGCAACAGCCGCCGGCGTGGACGTGCATTTCCGTTTCGTAACATCCAGGCCACTTTGTGTCTATTATTATCATCTGACACGCACCCCCCGGGGATGCACCGCTCGTAATCGCGATCGTTAAATCAATTACGATAACGCCCCGTCGACCTCTTCCTCGATTACACCCTTTCATGGCAGTGCGTTCAATTTTTTGGCCACCTTTCGTCCTTTTCTTCGACCTACTTTCAGCCTCCATGTCGAGGGAGCTTCGTTTCCGACCAACGAATCCAAATTTCAGATTTATTTGTGAAAAAGTTGTTCACAACTCTGAAACGCGATGAAAAAGAATTCTTTACCGAACGAAGAGCACAGAACGAGCGATGATTCAACCGAAAGGTGGATCGGTTGGGAAACGTCTCGCGCGTTTCCAAGGAACGCTTCGAATTCTTCTCGATTGTGAAATAAAGATACAGCGATCGACGCGATCCAGCGGCTGGAAATCCTCGAGCGAAAGAGGAAACTCGAAATCGCCGGTGCAACGAGAGCCACACCTTTGTCGTTCGACGGCCGGGATAGGAGCCTCCATCGACTGCGCGCGATTCTGCACGTAGTGCACGGACTTTCCTCGGCGACGACGCGATAATTCGGGCGGGTACGGAGCCAGCCGCGTCGCTACCGCGAAATCGAAGGAAAACACGAGCCGCCTCGGGCGGGCCTTTAGAATTCGTAAGGCTTTGTCTACCGGTTCGGCCAGAGTTTAACTGGGAAAAGCCACTGCAATGCGGTCGAGAACCGCCACGTATAGAAAACACGCCCTAACGAGGAAAAGCTTTTCAAACTAATCGCGCTTAGCTTAAATATTTTTTTTTAGCAAACATTGCTATCGATCATGTTCAAGGATTGGTCAGTAACAGAACATAATTTAACGAGATACTCAAATAATATTCGTATACCCATAAAATATTGAAATAATCCCAATGGAACACCAGACCTAACCCAACAGAGTTGCATTAGGAATTCAAAGTGCAAAGTCAGAGAAGGTGAAAGAGTTCTTCCTGGGTGGTCCCGTAATTCTATGCCCGATTAATGAATTAATCGTTTGACGGAAGAACGCGACTATAAGAATGCTAGAAAACAACATTTCGATATGGTAGGACTCGCTTAAATCAATGGAAAACAGGCGATCAAACGGTCGATTGCTTCCGGTATTCTTAAGCGTCGAATTGAAATTCTGCCGCGCGTAACCATTAAATAGTGCAACGAAAGGAAATCCTGCTAACGTGGGAGTAAGAGTCATTGAATTCGTACGTTTGCACGAGCGGTAGGGTCGTCGACCCGCGTAACGATCCAAATTATGATTAAACAAAATTCAAATCTACGAATTTCAATCATAAATAAATACGATTCAACATGTAAATAAATGCAATTTAAGTCGCGTTTGAGTACGTTTTTAATCGCATGCGTGATTTCGAATGCATAAAAACGATTCCGCGTCACGGTCGACCGGCGCGCATTATTCGAATAGTCAAGTACACAGAGTTGCATTCGAATACTCGAAAATTCGACACGTAGTTTCATCCTTGGTGGTCGGGCTGTCGTCGCGAAAGTTTCGCGGCAAGTGTGCACGCGGCTTTAAAGGATCGACGGGACTGTGGGTCGACACACCCTGCGCTGCCAACCAACGCGGACGGACGTGCCATTTTCTCGACGCCCGAGTCCGTTACACAAGAGGATCCGTTATGCGGAGAGAGAAAGTGGCGGCCGATGATATTTCGCCGCGTGCACAGTCGTCTCTCGGCCACAGGGAAACTGGACTACGGACGGCGTCTCTATAACTGTCGCAGCCTCGAAACCGAGCGGCGACTCTTAGACAGAGAGGCGACCGATCTCGAAATTTTTCAGTTTCCTACAAACCGTTCGTTCCTCCCCTCGAGCGATAGAGATCGACGACCAAAGGAGGTCCTCCGAGGAATCAAAGTCCACAGAAATTTTTAAGGCGTCTCGTAAAAGCCTGAATGGAGCTGACGATCGAGTCGCGTTTAAATCCTCGAAACGCAACAACGCCCGTTGGCTTTTGGCCCGCATTCCGCGCGATCCCACGTCGCGAGGTGTCCTCCTAATTTTCGGTCGCGAGCCTTCGTAAATTTCGCGCGATAAACTTGGCACGGTTGCCGCGCGATTTTCCCGGAAAACGAGGAAAGTCTGCTGCCCCGCACGCGAATCTCGAAATTCCCTTGGCTTCCTATTCTGTTCGCGGCTATAGAAATACTCGATCAACCCGAAAACGTAAATAAGCTGACATGCTCAATGAAATCAGTTTCGTTACTCGATACTTACTACTACTTTAATTGAGAACCTATAAATAACGTTTGTCAGTGTATATCAAAATTTTATGTAGTTTACAGTGTTGAGTTTATATCGTAATTTTACACGCGTGGACCAGTTTCGCAAAATTAATCAAAAAAATAATTTTTAAGCCTCTTGGCTCCGCGGACCGGGCTGACAGCGATGGTGTTAAATTGGCTACAAAGATAGCGATATAAATATACAAATTCTAGTGCTCCCGTCAGAACATTGACTGCCGTGTCATTTATGGTGAGGTTTTATAATAGCACTTTCAGCTGCAGCTCGTCTGTTACGTGCTCCGGGGGACAGGTGCCAACATCACACCACTTAAGATATTTGATGTTGCATTTCCTGTTTGGTACTAATTTACACGCGAATAAACACGGCTTGATCTTTTCGAACGGTTACGAATTAATTCCGAACCGTCCATCGACGACGAATCCGTCCGACCGTTGTTTCCATTTTTCACTCGTTTCCACTGGCGCGCCGAAGTATTGTATCCGGCGCTGTCTGACTATGCTCGTCCGTTTCTACTTGCTCGCCCGAGCGAACCAACGCGTTCGACAATTTCTCTCGCTATTTGTTTCGAGCTCCACGACACGGAACGAACATTAGATCTTCCAAGACATTGCTCTTTATGTGATCGAGCAATTTTCTGTCCCTTTTGATGCATATGGTAGGTCTGATAAATTATTAAATACGCCACGTTTATGTGGGGAAAGACTTCTATCGAGATAAATGGAAGCTTTCGGTCCCGGGAGAATATTTTGGAGACTCACCTCGAGGGTCTGCCGCAACGTGAGACCGGGGAAGAAAATGTCCTGCTGTTGCACGTAGCAGATTCTTCTGCGCCATCTTTTTGTCAGCCTCTCGCGATTCAGCCAGATTTCACCACCGTCCAAGCCCACCCGACCGGACAGGCAGTTCAGCAATGTGGTTTTGCCGCAACCTGCACGTAAAATCGAACCTGCCATTAGCGATAAATTGGAACACAAATTTACGATTACCGTATCTGCGAAATTAACCCCCTGACGTACGATTTAATTTCAAATAAATAAATTCGTTCGTACAAGCAATGACCACGGAAAAGTATTGATTTTAATGTATAATAATCGTTATATTATAATCGTATAAGACTCGTCATTGTATGATAAGGGGTTAATGACTATTTTCGGCTGGGTCTGCATCCCTGGTAAAATCTATATTAAACAGGGTGAATTTTTAATTCCAATATCGTCGTCGTAAATTTATTTATTTAAATATTTGAATAGATGTCAGCTTTTACCCTTTCAGCATTTGGAAACAATAGAATCTCACTATGTAAGTCGCAATGGCGAATCGAGGCCATTAAATTCGAAAATGTATTTTAGTCCAGTTTATCTGTACGAGTGTCGGTGTTTCTAACCCAGACCACTGACTTTTCCGTATGTTTGTGCCTGTTCGCTGCGGATTTTCGACAGATTTATGCCCGGTCGAAATAAAAATAAAGCATTGTAGCGACGTCGGTTGCATTCAAGTTATTCAACGACTATTCCCCGACTGTCAATTACCCAGAAAGCAACGCGTGCATAGTTCGAGCCTCAAGGTCTAAGTCATCCCGGGCGTTGCAGCGTTACTGGTTCACCTATTCGGTACCAAAGACGTTAAAACCATGTTTCAACGGCGCCCTCCGAGCGAACGTTGCACTGAAACGCGCGCTGCAATGGTACATTTTATTCCTAGAATCGTTTCGCGCGCGAGATATACAGCGGCGAATGCACCTCGTGGCTCGTTGAACGCGACATTAACGACAAACCGTGAAACAGCAAAGCACCGGATGATTTGTACCCGCGTTCTCGCAGGGGTTGCGAGCTGGCTTGTTAAACGAGTATCGAGGGGAACGAGGAATCTCGCGATAAATATCGCTCGGAGGGACGCAATCGTCTCGTTACCGCGCGAACAGCGCCTCGGTTAAAGATAGAAATGGCGAATTTTCGACGCCATCGCGATCGAAACCCCCATCTTTATTCGTTACGAGACCTAGGCCCGTTTACAATAGATAAACTATTGCTCGCGAAGCTTCCATAAATGTTTATCAAATTTCATACGTGTCTCGCGAGTAAAAGTTCATCTAAAAATTTATTTCGATAACGTGAATGGATATTTTCTCACTTTAGGGGGTTAATGATCAACTTTTCGGATATTTTTAGAATTGCTACATATTCTCCATCAAAATACGCGTTGTTTGCATTTTGAAACATTAAAATCGTCCAATCCGTTCAGGAGTTATGATGTTTTAAAGATTCGCATGAAATTTCGGCCAAACATTTCTGGCCTCACATTAGGTTTTCAATAAGGAATTTTTTTCTCGAAAGTGCGTAGGAATTCGGGGGTATGTCTAATGACCAAAAATGATTGTAATTGACCCCTTCAACTGAAAATAATTTTTTTGGAACGATTTGAAATTTTTTGATTTTGTCGAAAAATTTCACATCTACTCGAATTTTTTTCACGAAAATGGGTAGGATTTTGGAGGCATCTCTAATGACAAAAAATGATTGTAATTGACCCCTGCAACTGAGAATAATTTTTTTGGAACGATTTGAAATTTTTTAATTTTGTCGAAAAATTTCACATCTACTCGAATTTTTTTCTCGAAAGTGCGTAGGAATTCGGAGGTATGTCTAATGACCAAAAATGATTGTAATTGACCCCCACAATCGAAAATAATTTTTCCAGAATGATTTGAAATTTTTTACTTTCGCCGAAAAATGTTCCATTTAGCAAAATTTTGATTTAACGAGTAATCAAATGATCGTAGTTTATCAGCAATAATCTCGCTTATAAAATTGGATCGACGAACAGTCCCAGCCCTAATTTCTATGTCCGCCAGTAGGTCAGGATTCGCGGTCGTCGGCCCCGTTGGACGTCGAGTCCAATGTCCAGCGTTTTCAAACTATGCCGTGTATCGCGTTGCAAAACGTGAGTCGCCGCGCAACGACGGGGTGAATAAACTTTTCTCGCGTCGCGTATGAACGATAAGTGTTTAGGATAGAGATCGAGTGACTGGGGTGCGAGGATCGGTTTCCAAGCGAAGTATGTACGTGTCGGAGCTTTGGGCGCGAACTGATACGCAAGCTCTCGCGTCTGCGTCCAGTATATTCACCGGGTGTGATTTAAGAGCACCGCGCTATCGTAGTTTAACCTTTTCATTCTCGATGCACCTATACAACAGGCGCGCATAGAATTCTGAAACAAAATATTTCTGCGATTTTTACTCCCGCGTCCGTGAATATTTTATTTACGCTCGAGACCGTCGTTTAATACGAGCAAACACATAAATATCGTTTCTGTTATGCTTAAATAATTAATTAGCGGCGCCGCGGTCCGGCTGAAAGATACTCGTCAATATTTCTTTAAAAAATTCGCTCCCCCCCTGTCACGGATCGTTCTTGGAAAATCAATTTGCCCGAGCTTCTCCAAACACGGAGCCCGTCCATGTACGAATCGCCACCGAGGCAAAACGTAAATCCCCGACAAATAAAATTCACCGGGATAAGCGTTTCCCATCGACGCGAGCTTATACCCGGGGACAGCGATCCCTCGATCGAGGCTCGACTCGATTCGACGGGGAATCCCCTCCCCCGCCACCCGTCGATAGCCAATCTGTCTCGAAATTGGAGGATTACCGTGGACAGAGAAACCAAACAGACGAGAGAAAGGAAAAAAAGGGGGAAAGGATTCTTAATCTATCGATGGCGTCGTACCTGAAGGTCCCATGACGGCCAAGAGCTCGCCGGGCTTAACGACGCCCGAGACATCTCGGAGAAGGGCTCGTTTCTCCTTGACCACCTGCAACCCCCGGAAGATTAGCTGCACCGGACGAGAATCCAGCGGGTACACCAACTGCAACGCTGAGCTTTCCACTCTGCAACAGACAAAAGACGGAACACGGTGAATTGGCCGGTTCAATCAACGTCTTCTTCGGCACCGGGGTAGTCTACACCCCACCAACCCTTCGAAAATTGGTACGAAGTCTCTTTGACGGGATCGCTGTACGATCTTAACGACGAAATCCTATGGGCAAAGGGGACAGAGCTGGGAGGGCTCTGCAGCTTCTAATTAGAACATTGTTATATATTTTCTGCGTGAAAACTTTATTCGTGATCAATGATATATTAAAAATTATTCGAGCTACTAGAAATTCTCTTTGGTAATGATTGTTGATCGAAGCTAGATTTTAATTTTACATATGTTTCTACCCGTTTCGTTTCGTCGTGCAACAGAAATGCAGAACGCTGTGGATTCCAGCCTGGAATCGGAGCGGTTGACAAACAATTGCCTTCATAATAACAATGACGTCTCATCGGAGGTATTCCATGACAGCAATTAAGACGGGCACGCGTTGCGCCTGGAATCAGTCCGCGTCAAAGGAGATCTGGCTCGATTTCAAATGAAATTTTCAAGCCAGTCGCGGCCATTACGCGGCGACGAAAAAAACATCTCCGATTGGATTTATTTTCGTCATTTCCATATCTCGTCGGCCGGATTCATTAGCGTCAATTTAGTAAAACGCTAATAGGAGTCTCGAGTCATGGTGTCGAGGCTTTCATCGACTATGCACTCCCAGACGTTTTCGAATCGTTCTCGTGTTAAACGCGATACTAACATCGGTATACCAACGCGATATTCTCGAAAACTAACGAGCTTGAATCCCGAATAAATTGAGGCGGGACGAGAGGGGGGGAAAAAAACATCGTGCAAAAAATGAATTTCGAAAGACGTCTCAATTCTCGGAGAAGAATTCGCATCGAGTTTTATGGGACACGATCGTTGCGGCAAAAGGACAAATTTTAATTACTTCAGGCCCGTCTTAAGTGTTCCGAAATGGCCCGGCGAAACAAAAACCTAATCTAAACGACTTCGATACACAGAATATTACTGGCAAGGAAAATAATTCTCCTTGTAAAAGACAGATAAGAACGGAGATGAGAAAAAAAAATGGTCGACTACTCGTCTTGGTTTTCCCTGATGAAAAATTCTCGAAACAAAAGGGATGAAATTCCCTTTGGCCATCCGCCTCGATGGCTCCAAGACGATCTTTTGTCAAAATTATCGAACGCTCGGCCAGACACGTTCGAGTAATAAATAACTCTTCGCGACTGTATTAAACGCCTTAAAAATATTTTCATTATCTGGCATCTTGAGGCAACGTTATGGTACAATTTTCCAATCGTTAATATTGTCCTTCTCGAGATACGAAAATAATCAAGTGAATAAAGAATAAATTTTCCTTCTCGGTAAGGATTTTTAAATAAGGTCCCAGCGAAATATTTCCCGCGAAACGACGACGAACGCGGAGGAACGCGATTAGATTGACCGCGTCACCTTTGGAGTTGCATCGCTGACGCGGCTGCATTCGATTACATCCGACCGGCAACAACAACAGCAACCGCTGGGATGTTTGGCGAGTCGATCAGGGACGGGAAAACGGTTTCTGCAAGGCCGTTCGAAAGCTGCCGGAGCGCAAGGAATAACCCGATCCGTCGATTAAGGCGACATCGTGGAACATCTTCACTCGCGCGAGCCCATATAAGCGGAATCAATCTCGCAACTTTCCAATGGGTTTCCAAGGAGAATAGAAAACCCGCCTCGTAAGAGGGAAGTGAATTTCTGGTTGGATGACGTCGCGGTTCGGACTCGCTTGGGAAAACGTCGAGGATGACATTCAAACCGGAATCGAGCACTATCGAAACGATCAGAGAATTCGGCGATGGAACACAGAATGTCTTGTTTCTGTTCTCTCGATCGAAAGCTGATTATTTTTAGGCGTGTACGTAAATTCGATCGCTAGGTTTGTCTCTCGATAGAATAGTTTGTCCAAAATTATTAGATTCCAGATCTGGAAAAGTTGGAAGAATTTTTTAATAATTAAAATTGTTCAGGATATCTGTAAAGCGTCTAACGTCAGTTTATAGAGGAATGTTTTGCATATTTATTAACTGACATATAAACGCACGGAACACGACGCTCCTAGCGATAGTAAAAAGCTGTCCGCACGTAATGCGAGTGGTTCCTGGTAAACAAAGACTATGTTTCTACACCTGCGTTAGATGGAATTTCAGTCGCGAATTTTTTAGATTACAGCCGCCGTAATCTTCCTTTGCATACGCGTTAATGACCTGAGAAGGACTTTAGTTTCTTACGAAATAATTGTTTCTGCCTTTCAAATTGATATTCGAAATTATCTCGGTGAAACGTGAAGTACGAACGAAAGCTGTCTTGAAAGTTCTACTTTGGTCCTGTCAGATTTCCAGGAATTTCATTAGCAGGCTTCGATCAATCTTACTTGGATTTGTTAAGTAACTGGAACTGGAAATTACTAATTGATTATATAAGAAGCTCAAAATTTGATACGCACAGTGGAAGAAGAATTAAATCGTGTTCTTACGAGACAAAATTTCATTGCAATAATCAGTATTTGAAAGCTTTCATCGCGGATCACGTAGTACTACGTTCTACATGATTAATAAATCACGTTGCACTATGCGTTGACCACATTTCACCCACTGCTCTGTGTTGATTCACTTAAAACGTTACTAAATCGATGACCTACCACGATATCTACAAATCACGTAGTACTACGTGCCATTCGCGTTTCACGCGACAAAACACCGTACGAAATTCCCGTAAATCATGCATGTCAACCAGTTGCACAACGTGTCACAGAACGCATGGTCTAACACACATCGCGTAGTACTACGTGCTATCTATGTAACGTATCGATTCGCGTAATACATCACAAAACCGACGACCTAACAACGCGTCGCGTAGTACTACGTCCTATCTTTGTTTCACGTAGAACTACGATATTTTCACCACCGCGCGTCGAAAAGTCGGTGTGATAGCCTGTTAACAGATCACGTAATACCACGTCTTATCTGGGTCCTACGATATTCTGGGCGTCGCGCGTCAGAAAATCGACGGTCTAACACGTTGTCAACGGATCACGTAGTACTACGTGCTCCACGAACCTCGCGCGCTACTATCTTTCACGACTTTCCTCGAAAGCCCGCGCGCGGGTACGTTTAACCTTTACGAGCGACGCCCGTGGAGTACAAAGCGTTCGACCTCTATATTTGACCTCCACCTGTCCGAATTCCATCGAATTCCTTCGAACCAGCTAGCAGTCGGGGCCCGTTGGTTGCAACCGTGAGGATCCACGCCGACGGACGGCCGCCACGTGACGGCGCGTGCTAAGTAACCGATTCTCCCCCCGTTGAAATCGGAAAGGAACTAACCCGGAGCGGCCTGGTTGCGTCGCGATACACAAAAAGCGGGGGTCGTTGGACAACGGAGTCAGATAATAAATTCCCAACATGGCAGTATCACGTCATCCCGGGGTTCGTTGAACTCGACGTTACACGACAGACCCGAGGGGGAGGAAAGACGGAACACGACCGAGAACAGACCGAAGGGAACGGGGATTCCAGGCGTGAATGAGAGAGACAGAAGGGAGAAGGATGGGCCCCGACTTCGTTTTGCGATATCTATCGCCCCGTTTCGTTTTTGGGGATCGTACGCCATCTTGAAAATCGCGTCTAGCCTCTTTCTGGGAATTGGTTATTGGGGATGGAACCTGTTCTTGAGAGCAGATGTCCTTTTTCGACAAATGAACATTTATATCGCTGGTTCTTTGTTCGTAAACGTCTAATCTATGCGTGTGACTTCTTTGTTGATCGTTTCTGTGAACACGCGCGCTCTGTGAACCCTGCGTCACCCTGGACTTTTATGTTCTCCGTGATTCTTTCTAAACTTTGCTCTGTCTTGGTACGCTTCTGTAATGCATCAGCAGTTATACTTTTTCGAGTCGAATTCGAATTTTAAGAGGTATTCCCGCGCGTCATCCTGTCGATTCTAATGAAATTACTGAGTCATAAAACCGCATCAGTAAACAATTAGAGGCACGTGCATGACATTTGTCGCTCGTGTATTACAAATTAATATGCCACGCAGAACTTCGCTGTAAGAGAGTCTAATGACACCGTATAAGCGTAGTACTACGTTTCTCAACCGTTCGATCGAAATCGTCCGTCTTACAATTCCGAGTTTCGACCAATCGTCGATGTGACACTGATCACGTAGCACCACGTTCCTCATAGCACGAAATTACAATTCCCATCCACTTTCTCTTCCGCGTGCGTCAACTATAAATTGATAGGTCGCACAGAAGTATTCTGTGAGCATATTTGACGACACTATACGAACAACTCGTTTCGCCGCGAACACGAAATCACGTAATACTACGTTGTTCATCGTAATAACGTACCAGTGTTCCTCAACGATTCGAGTGAACGTAGTAATGCATTCAACTTCGACGAGGTAACGTAGTACTACGTTTCGTGGAGGCAGTATCGGAGCAAACTTGTTCGAAATATCATAGTGTTGCGTCTATTACCGATTCAAGTAGAATTTCATGGCGAACGAACGCAGAGACTACCTCTGTACTTTCTGGCAGATTGACACTCGTGTATCAGCGATGTGACTTCGATCACGTAGCACTGGGTTTCTTACACCGCGAAATTATAATTTTCACTTTCCCGTGGTTGGTTCCGTGACGCAATTCGGCCCAATTCCCTGCGAACCTCTCAGGACAATGGTGCTGTTCATTAAACCGTTAACCCAAGTTTGACGTCGGTTCGCTCGGTGTTTTTGCGCGTCGCAGAATTCGGCCGATGCGTAAGCGCCGGCGTCCAAACGCGACGGTTCTATCCTCCTCCTCTTTTTTTTCTCCCCCTTAATCATTTTCGTAATTCATTGCCTCAATGTCGGGTCGAGGTTTCACGGGGTTAGGTCTCGTTGAAGGAAGTTCCAGGGCCCGCTCCGAATTGACCCCTGCTCGGGTTCGTTGAACCGGCTCCCGCATGC